AGAAGCAGAGATACAGGCAGAGGGAGGAGCAGGCTCCATGCAGGGGGCCTGGTGCAGGACTCGATCCCCGGACTCCAGGATCGTGCCCTGGGCCAAAGGCAGACGCTAAACCGCTGAGCCACCCAGGGATCCCCTAAAAATTCCAACATAGATAATACATCCATATGTATAAAAGAACGTACACTAATATAAAAAGTAGTACCTTAGAGCTTTATTTCCACTCCTGTGACTGCCTACTTTGCCCTGTTTGCCCCATTTCCTTTTTAAAAATAGTTTCAGCTCTTATTTTTTGCCCCATTTCCTAACAGCGTCCCACTTTGCCTAGTTTCATGTGTCGCCTTCCAGTATTTCTTTAAGGTCACTAACATCTACTGAGCATTACTCTCCCCGGGGACTCTTCCAGTCCGCGATATTCTTTTACAGGAGTTATCTCATTTAGTCCCCACAACAGCCCCTGGAGTAGGTGCTGATAGCACGGCCCCACCGTACAGGGGACGAACTGAAGCCCCGAGGGTGCCCGGGTTGGTGCATAAGCACACGGGGCCGCTCCAGAGCGAGCGTCCCTAACCGCTCGCACCTGCGTCCCTGGGAAGCGGCGGCCGGGGCAGGGCGCGGCTGCTCCCACCCCCCGCCCGGGTCCCGACCTAGACGACCCGGCACTAACGGGCCCGCCGTCTCTGCTCTCTCCCCAGGACCGCCGCGAGAGCCTGCCCACCTCCCCGCCCTGGACGCCCGGCGCCTCCCGGCCCCCCAGCAGCCTGGACGGCTGGGTGAGCCCGGGGCCGTGGGAGCCGGGCCAGGGCGGCAGCAGGAGCAGCCCCCCGCCGCCGCCGCCCCCGCCGCCGCCGCCGCCCAGGTCCCCCTCGTGGAGCGAGCGCTCGCCGTCCCCGCTGCGGCCCGAGGCCGAGGCGCGGCCCCCCAGCCGCCAGCTGCAGGCGCTCCTGGCGCGGAACATCATCAACGCGGCCCGGCGCAAGAGCGCCTCCCCGCGGCCGCCGGGCGCCGACAGCCTGCGGCCCTTCTCGCCGCCCGGGGCGCCCCCGCCCGCGCCCGCGCCCGCGCCCCCGCCCCCGCCGCGCCCGCGCTCGCCGCAGCCCGCCCGGCCGGGTCCCGCCGCCGCCCCCGGCCCCGCCGCCGCGTTCTCCCCGATTCCGCGGAGCCCGCTGTCGGCCGGGCCCTCGCCCTGCGCCAGCCCCCGGAGCCCGCTGCCCGCGCCGCCCCGGCCCTTCCCCTACCGCCGCTCGCCCACGGACTCCGACGTGTCCCTCGACTCCGAGGACTCCGGGGCTAAGTCGCCCGGGATCCTCGGCTACAACATCTGCCCCCGCGGCTGGAACGGCAGTGTGAGGCTCAAGCGCGGCAGCCTCCCCGTGCCCGCCGAGGCCCCCTGCACCACCTAAAGCCCCCCGCCCCCGCCCCCGCCCCATCCCCACCCCGAGGGCTGAGCCGGAGGAAGAGGCCAGGGCCTTGGTGGATCCCAGCACCTCGTCCCGGGGTGCAGTGGAGATGGGGGGCTGGCCCCTTTGGACGAGGGGTCAGGCGAGGAGCGCTCTGGGCTTGGGGCTGGGCGCCCAGGATGCAAGCTTGGGGCCTAGCCCTGCGTCTATCATTCAGGCATTGGGTGACCCTGGGCAAGACCCTTCCTCTTCTCACCTTCAGCTCCCCCATCTGTTTAATGGGACTCTGGCCGCGGCAATCTTCACAGGTCTAAATTCTCCCTCCCCTCCCATCAATACACGTGCACACGCACACGCCTGCCTTGGAGGAGTTGGGGTGTTGAGTATAGGGACCCCTAGAGTCACTGCAGTTCAGGGTTCCAGACTCCTCCCTCCCTTCCTGGCTCTGCTCTCTGGAGTCTGGCAGATGAGGGGGTGTGTTCAGAAGATCCTAGGCCTGAGTTCCCTGTCCAGGCTCTGGCTTGAGCATCGCCTCCCTGGCACCAAGTCTCAGGCAGAAGCAGCTGTTTCCCACCCCTTCCCAGACAAGCTCTATTTTTACCACCGTGACCTTTAGAGAGATCTCCCAGGCCAGCTCAAGGTGCCCTGCTGGTCCCTCCGGGACAAGAGGTGGAAAGATTCCTCCTCCCAGATCTCTCGTGTTTTTCCCACCCCAGGTCAGACTATCAGGGCATCTTATCTGCTGCCAGAGAGGACAGCTGGAAGGTGACAACGTCTGTCCCCAGCCCCAGGATGTGGGCCTCCAGGAATGCTATGGGTGCCTCCGACACATCTATCTGTTCTGGGCCCTTTCATGGCAGGTGCCAGGCTCAAAGCTGAGCTGGGGAGAGAGTTGCTGATATGGAGCTATCTGCCATCCTGTGGCTTTACCTGATGGCCCCGAGTTTGAGGTTGCTTACTTAGAAAAGGGAAGGCAAGAGTTCCTTGTTATGAGAGGTATTCAAGCAGTAGCCAGGATGCACAGAGGAGATTCTAGTAGGAAAAGGATTGGCTCAGACGACCTCTGAGGGCTCTCCCAGTCCTGAAATACATTCCATGCTGTTAGGAAGGGAGCAGATGGCGGTGGAGGATTGGCTGGGCAGCATTCCAGGCAGAGGAGCACGGGTGGGTGAGTGAGAGGTTAGACTAGAGTCTGCCCGTGTTTCTGGTTCCTTAGGAAGTACCCCATGGTTCAATGTTAGGCCCCAGTATCCACATGATGCCCAGATGAGTGGGCACCATTTTGCCCCATCCCTTTCCCATTACACTGTGGCCTAGCTAGTGCCTGGTGCCCAGTGACCTTGAGGAGCCTGGCTGCAGGCCCTAGCCTGTTCCCTAGACCTGGGTGGTTCTCATTCCAATCCCCTGGAGAGGGACAAGGGAGGAATGTGGCTAAATTCTAGTTTCCAGAGTTGGCTGGTGGTGCCCTCTAGAGGTTCAGAATATCAACTTCAGAATACTGAGTGCAGAGGAAAGGTAGGGGTGGGGTACTGCAATTGGCTGAGGATCCAAGCGATGTAGGAGGAAGGATTCCAGGATGTTGCTAACAGTTGAGGGACCCATTGTGGTCCAGGGTTAGGTGTAGACTTACCCATCCATCAGGTGATGTTAGACCTGGAACCCCTAGGGAAAGCTAGGGATAGCTGGGGTCAGGGTGGGAGAGAGTTGGATGGGGATGCTTTGGAATTAAGGAGTAATCCCAGAGGGTGCCTAGGGCCTGAGGACTGGGAACACAGGCCCTGACAGTGGGAAGGTAAGAGGATGCTCCTGCTTGGTCCAGGATGAGTGGCCACATTTACTAAAGTCCCCGTCTGCTTCAAGTTTCCTTGTAGCTTGGGAGGCTGGGGCTTAGGGCCTCTTTCATAGAAGAGACGCTGTCAGGCCACTGGTCGATATGGAGGCATAGAAAAAAACACTCTGCCTGCATTTCCCCAAAGAACCAGCAGGAGGCAGCCCTGGGAAGCTGCAGTTCCGCCGGGCTGCTCTGCCTGTCACTGCCTTCTCCCCAGATCCTCTCCTCTAGCCCACTAGAGACTGCCTGTGTTCTGCCTCTTGCCTCCTGTAGAATTCATCTCCGGCCCTCAATAAATGCTTCTGCATCCTCCGGTCTCCAGCGTCATTTTCAGCTTCGTCTAAAGCCCCTCCCGTCCCCCCATGGAACAGTCCGAGGGACTCAGTGGGGATGAGAATGTTTGACACAGGAGGGATGGGGGCTTGGGGAGCAGCAACCATGGAGAGAGATGCGGAGCAATGGAAAACACAGAGGAGGTCCCAGGGTTGAAGTCTTGATCCTGTCATCTACGAGGCCCTGCGTAAGGCCACTCCTTATCCAGCCTCAGCGTCCCTATCTGTGCAGAGCGAGCTGGGCTAGCTGATGTTTCGGGGTGGTATTTCCCAGCTCCTCACAACAAGATTCCATCACTGGAGCTGGGTCAGAGGCCAGGGCAGGTTCCTCATGGCAGGTTAGGGCTCTGTGCAGTAGAAGCCCCTACAAGAGGTCCCATCTGAGTCCAGATAACCCTAGTGAGCTTGGGACCCAGACTGTCAGAAGTGCTCCTCATCTGATGGGGGTGTCCTTCGTCCAGAAAAGGGCATTGTGGCCTCAGTTGGAGGAGAAGCCAAGCCTGCCCTGGGAACATCCCTCATCCCTCTAAAAGCTCAGGCCCAGTAGAGGCTGGGAGCAGGAGTCTAAGGGGCAGGACATAGAGTTCCTGGAGTCCACAGAGCCCAGGCTTCCTCCTAAGAGCATGTCAAATACCCCCTCTGTCCCCGGCACACGGGTACAGGTGCTGCCGGCCCCACCCTCCCCCAGGTGACCCAATCTTTACCTTCAGCCAGCACCCCTCCTGAGCACAGTATCCCCCACTCCTGACACCTCAAATCGGGTTCATCCCAAACTGAGCTGAGAAGCTGCCCCCACCCCAGTCTGTTCCCCTTTTACCTTCCTCAGCCTCTCAAGTCAGAGTGGCCTTTCCCTCACTCCCCACATCCAATCTCTGAGCACAACCATGTGACTCCCCAGCTACCCCTCAGGTACTTCCAGTCCCCATGGCCTCTGCCCCGGTGCAGCCTCCCCATCCTCACCTGACCACAGGATGATCTTCCTGCCTCCAGTCTGCCCCCCTCTAACTCATATGCCACCTGGCAGCCAGAGATATATTTGGAAAATGCCCATCTGACCACTCCATTCCACCGCTTTAAACTCTTAAGCACACTTTCCTTTTGAAAAGCCTGCTGTGATCTGGCCCGCCTGTCCCGCCTCATCTCTCAGCTCTGTGGGCAGTTCTGGCTCTGCTCGCGGACCCCCTGACATTGTTACACACCACGAGGCCTCTGTCTGCGGTGCCTGTGCCCCGCTGCCCACTGAACTCCCACTAGCCTTCCAGGCCCAGATCAAATGTCTCCTCTGGGACTCTCCTTCCCCACCCCCTCTCCCCAGGCAATGCCGGTGGCACCCTCCCCCGGGTACTCCCAGAGCACTTCCCATCATGCATCGCAAAGGCTTATTTACGGGTCTGACTTGGGCCTGACTGAGCTCCTTGAGGACAGAGCCCTGCCTTATTTATCTTCCATAGAGAGACACTCAATGTGAGAAGGTGGAGGGAGGTGGGGAGGGAGGGAGCAGAAAGAAGAAAGGCAGGAAACAAAAGAGAAAAGAAGAAATGAACAAGTCAAGCAAGGACATCAGGGGAAAACTCATTCATTCACGCATGCCTGCATCCATCCATTCATTCAACAAATATCTATTGAATTCCTATCAGGCCCCATTCTAGGCACTAAGGATACAATCAGGAAGCTCAAGTGACTGGCAACTGACTCAGCATTTCCAGGTGACTCTGGTGTGTGCATATGTATGTGTGTGTGTACATGTGTGTGCAAGCCCTTCTGTCTGCAAGGGCCTGCTGCCGGGGCACCTGTCTCCCCTGGGGGCCTGGTGCTTTTAGCATCTGTCCCTGGATCCTGTTGCAGCCTGAAATAAGGCTGTGAGCCACGACGAGGCAGGAACGATTCTTGATTCTCGTCAGCTGAGGCCGGAGTTGGCTGCAAGGGCACACCGTGCTCAGACTGGGCCCAGGACCACTAGCACCTCCACGACTACTCAGCTCTCAGCTTCCTGACAGAGGTGTTAATCTTGAGGGTCTGACATTCCCTCCTGCACGCTGTGGTCCCATCACTCAGGTACCAGGATCCTAGGGGAGCTCGAGGAGCTATGGGGCCTGGGCAGAGGACATGAGCTGGCTGCCAGAGCCCCAGCCTCCAAGCAGAGGAAGGGCTCTGCAGAGGGTCTGGGGAGCATGGGGTCTCCAGGAAGGGAGCGGAGGGATTCTAAGCTCTAGGCCACTCTAGATTAAGTGGGGAGGGGTGGCTGGGACTCGAGGTGGGCATAGGTAATGGCTTTGTGCAGGACTTCAAGATCTTTGGGCTGTGGAGGGAAGCAGGGCCCTGTCTGCAGGTGAGAGTCCTTGGCAATGTCTGTGTGTGTCTGTCAGGGGAGTGTTTATCAAGAAACAGACCTGTGCACTGTGGGCTCCTGAGTGGTCACAGTCGGAGCACTCTCTGTCGACTTGTAGCCCTAAATGCAGGCAGACACATTCAGGTTAGCTACGGTTTGTGGGGTGGGGGATTGTGGGTGCCCTGAAGCCCATCTGTGGATCCCACGATCTGGCCCAACCGCCTTATATTAGAGAGGCACTTAAGAGGAATTGAGGCCCAAAGCTGAAGAGCCACTTGCTCACAGTTACAGAGGAAGTCAGGGACTTGGATTAGAGTCCAGGCTGCTGCCCTGGAGCCATGTGTGAGTGTGGGGTGTAGCTGGAAGCAGACTTGTTTTTTTTTTTTTTTTTTCTATAGGAAGGAATGTAGAAAGACCTGGAAGCAACACACAGGAGTAGGCTGGCAGGACTGCCTTCTCTCCTGGGGGCAAGTTAGGGAATCTGGACTTGGAGCCTACAGGGATTCCATGGGTCTCTGGACCCCACTTTGCTTGTAAATCTTCTCCAAGATTGCTGGAAAGTGCCATGAGATGCCAATGGGGAGTGCAGGGGATGGAGGAGGAGGTAGAGAAGGGGTGAGGGAGAAGAGAGCACCCTGTATGACCATTGAAAGCTGGAGCATAGGGAAGGAGGTGATGGGTCTCTCAGCTTCCATGGACCAGCCTTGCAGACCCCAGTGTAGCCCCAGCCTAACAACCCATCCATACCCCCCTCTCCTTGACTTAAACTTTCAACCTCTTTCAGCTGCTGATTAGAGCTCATCTGCCTCAGCGGATGACAGTTGCCTGAGGCCCCCACCTCCCCTATCCCTCATGTCCCAGAGATTATCCCCTGAAGAAAGAGGCCTCCGTGTGGCCTCCAGCACCTCCCTTACCTCCCCTGGACCTCTGTATCCTCCCTGTCCAGCTCTGATAGCCCTTCCTTAAGAATAGGGTGGGCCAAGGCAGTTCAGGGCTGGGGCTGGGTGGACCAGGGCCTGGGAGGACATGTGGGGAGGGAAGAAGGGGGCAGGCCAATTTGCAGGCATCTCTCCTCCACAGGATGATCCCTAAGGAGCAGAAGGGGTCAGTGATGGCTACCATGGGGGACCTCACTGGACCAGGTAAGGTGGACCCAGCTCCTGTGTGTTCCTCAGACTCATCCTTTTCTGATCCTAAAGTGCAGCCACTTGGGCCTGTTGGCCTGAGGCCTGGACAAACAGGTGTGAGTTCCAAGCCAGCCCTGAGGGAGTGCCTGTGGAATCTGCCACTTGGGTTGGGAAGCTTCCCGAAGCATTGGGAGGGGCCTTGCCCTGATGTCCACACCCCCGGAGGCTGGGACTGAATGCCTTAGACTGGGCCCTGGGCCTAAGACCTTACCTCCACTTCAGATTAAGCACTGAGGGGTCTGGTCCCAGTTCCAGCCCTAACTGTGGCCCCCGAGCTCCCCACACACTGTGGGTCTCACTAGGCCCCCGTGGCAAGAGACAATGGTCAGGGGAGAGTGGGGCAGGCTGGAAGAGTAGGCTCCCCAGTGTGGCTCAGATTTTCACTTAAAAGTAGGCTCACCCAATGAATAAATCATCTAAGATACATGTTTATCACCATATAAGTGATAAACTCTCAGCACAATTTTGGAGTCTGCTAATTTGGCCTATTTCAGATCATTTCAAGTATTTTAAAAACAAATTCCACTAAGTCGGGCTCTCATCCTGTAGTGTGAATGCTAGTGAGTGATGCTGTTGGTTAAAAATGCAGATTCCCAGCATCTACCCCCAAGGATTCCGATTCAGTGGAGCTGGGGAAGGGGCCAGATAGGCACCTTTTAGACAAGTGCCCATGTGATTCTGGTACACATGGACAGTGACCTGAGCACCAACAAACCCTCATATAAGGATACCACTGAGGTTTTGCCCCTGCAGCTTCTAAGAAGCTCCACATCTAAGACAGCCTTTTGTATGACTTTATAGGTGAGTGGTCCTAATCTATTTTGTGTGTTCTTGCCTCCTTTTGTGAGCATTAAATTTCTCTTTTTTTCATTTCATGATTTTGGGCTCTAAAATATGCCAACTCTGTGAAGTATTGATGCTCTAGCTAGAAGAGCCAGGCAATGCATTCTCTTTTCCCTTGGCTAAGTAATTAATTAATGATAGTCCCCTAAACATGGACACATCTCATTTATGCCAGACTGGAAATTTATAAATTATTGGCCGTTGCTGGGGTATTAACTCAAGACAATTTTGAAATTGAAGAAAAGTAAAAAGAAAAAAAAATCTCATGGTCTTACCATTAAAAGACAATCACTGTCAGGCGTTAACAATACAAACACCATTATTGTGTACTTACTCTGTGTCAGATTCTGGGATTAAGAGCTTCCATGCTTTATGCTGTATACCCCTCATAACAACTCTCTAAGTTAGATACTGTTGCCCCCATTTTGCCGATGAGAAAGCTGGGGGACAGGGGAGCTAGGTGGTCACATATATAGTAGTTGGTAGAGCTGAGATGGGACTCCAGATCTCTTTGTCTTCCGAGCTGCTTCTATACTACATGGTTGTACAAATAATACATCCTTTTTATAAGACATTCAGTCAAAACAGACATGAATGACTTTGAAAGTGAAAGTTCCTCATAATGGGACCATCTGGAGATAACTACTGTTAACATATTTGAGTAAATCCATCTTCTGTTCATATATAAACATATTTATATAAACGCATATACAAGTGGGTTAAGTAGTATACGCTGTGTTTTTCAGCTTACTTGTTTTTTTTTTCACTTAGCAGCATACCACAGACTTCTTTCTAGCCTGGTATGATTGATTTTTCCACCCCCTCCCTCACTCCCCCAGCATATATTAAGTATATTGATACACACACACCCTACTGGTGGTCATGAAGGCTCATCTCAGGCTGGACTCTCAGGGGCAGAGCTGAGGATTCTCTGGTCCGGGTTCAGTGGAACCCCGTGGGGGCTCCAGGTCACGAATGGCTCCACAGAACTCATCTCATTCAGGAAGTGGGCTGTGAGTGCTTCTGCTCAGCCGGGTAGCGCTCTGCAGAAGGGGGCAGGTGTGACCCTGAGCCACTGATGAAGGGCATCTGGACAGCACCCCCACCACTCTGGTGCCTGCTTTTCACAATCTGAAACCTCACTGCAATCAACATCCTTGTATGTCTATCTTCAGGCATGTTTATTCAACTTTTCTCCCTAGGAATGAATGCCTAGAAATGGAACTGTTTCATCAAATAGATTTTATCTGTAACTTTTTTTTTCTTAATATCGAGCTCGATTCTTCTGGTAGTATTTGATAATATGATGCCAGGGGACTTTTTATTATGTATTTAGATATAAATAGTCTTTCATGCTTTTAAGTATGCAGTACCTTTTCTTGTTAAAAAATAGTGCAATTTCTAGCCTTCCTCTTCCTACCTCCTATAAATAGTTACTACTAATATTCGGCATATCTTTTTGCAGATTTTTCAATGTGTACATAAATATATAGTACTTATTCTTTTAAATAAATGAGTGGGATCTTAGAATGCAGATTCTTCTGAAACTTACTTTTTCCCCCTCTTAACCGACATTGGATCTCTTTCTGTTCCTAACATGTAGGAGGTCCTCTCTCCATATTTGCTGAAAGAATAAAAAAACCCCACCAGCCCCCTTCTTAAAAAAGACTGTTTGGATTCCATTGAATGTGATGAATCACAGCACCTGCAGGGCCCCTGATGCTGCCTGGCAGCCCCACCCCATCCATCTCTCTGTCCCCTGTCCTGTACTACTCGCTTAGACGATGTTGGCAACCTCTGTACCCAAACTCCCAATGCCTCCTCCCTGGTCCTCCTTCTCAGCTGCTGACCTTGCTTCCTATTGCACTGAGAAGAATGAAGTAACCAAAAGAGCACCTCTGCAAGCTCCCTCCTCCACATCTGGCTTGAGCTTGCATCTGTGTCCACATTCTCAGTTTTCCTTCCCCGTGTGGTGGGTGACCTCTCCCTGTCCGTGTCTGAAGTCAGCCCTTCCAGTTGAGCTGGGGACACCTCCCCTCCCCTCCCCTCCCCTCCTCTCCAGTCCCCTCCCCTCTCCCCTACTCAAGGACATTCTTCCAGTTGGTCTGCCCTCTATCTATTTATTGCATTGTCAAAATTTCCCATCAGCTAAAAAAACCATGCTTTTATTTTATGTCTCTTAAAAACAAACAACTTCTTGATTCTACTGCTGCCTCTGGTCCTGTAGAGCACAACTCCTCAAAGCTGTGGTCTATACTTTCTCACCTCCTCTCTCTCTGTAACATTTTATTAAGCTCATTTCCAAACACACAAAAATAGAGAGTGCAAATCCCCATGGCCCTCCTTTCATTCGTGGAGTCCAAAGCAAAATCCAAAGAGCACGTCATTTCATCCCCTCAATACTTCAGGATGCACCAAAAATAATAAAGAGGGCATTTCCTTATATGCACACTGAAAAAAATTAGCAACTTTGATTTAATACTACCTAATAACCAGTCCCACAGTTAACTTTTTCCAATTTTCTAGTTTGTTTTAATGAGGATCCAAAGAAAGACCACTGTTTATTTGGTGGCCACATATCTTAAATCTCCTTTAATCTATAACCCCCACTCCTATCCCACCCTGTCTTTTTTTCCAGGTCATTCACTCCTTTAAAGAACCCAGGCCAGCTGCCCTATAAAACATCTCACATCCTAGATTTTGTTCACTGCTTCCTTGTGGTGTGGTTAAAATACTCCTCTATCTTAACACTTTCCAATAAGGTTTTCACACCCAAATACTCCATAGAAACTACTTTTGTGAAGATGACCAATAACAACCCCATGACACTAAAGAGGATGGTCAATATTCGGCTCTGTGATCACTCCATCTTCCTGGAAATGCTTTATCACTTGGTTTCCAGGGCACCACCCTCTGGGTTTCCTCCAGCCTCACTGGGCACCCCTTTCTAGCTCCATGGCTGGTTCTTTACCTCTTTAGTCTGGATGCTGGAGGCCTAGGGCTCAGGCTTTGGATCTCTTTAACCCTCATCTACCTGGTGATCTCATCCAGCCTCCTGGCTCTAAACACCATTTATAGAGCTGGAACTCGAACCTCCATATATCCAATTTTAGAGATGGACAACTCTGGCCATACTGTCCATATGTATCCTTTTCCTACCAGTGTCCTCACCCCTCTGCCACTCCTTTCCTACCAAAGCCTTCCTGTGGTGGGAAGTGCAGAAAAGTGTGTGTTTTGCCAGCGGGGGAAACAGAAAGGATAGGGATGGGTTCCAGAACTATTAAGGACAGCCATCTCCCCTGGAAACCCTCTACATGGCTATCACAGTGAGTCCTAACTCTGAGAAAAGAAATAAATGTAATGGACTTCATCAAACAACAACAAATAGCATTTGTAAGCTCACGATACCCCAATTTTTACTTTCAGGTCAATTTCTCCCATGAGCCCTAGACTCATGTACCTGGTTCCCTCCTTGGCTTCTTCACTTGGACATCTGCAAGGCATTTCAAAATTTATATGCCCATTCTGCAGGCAATTAGAGGAATTGGAATACGGATTAGGCATTGTATAAAACAAAAATATGTCCACTTGCACAGGCAGAGACCTTTAATTGATAAATCAAGTTACAAAGCATGTATAACTATGACTTCATTTTAGCCGAAAATTCATATGTGAATATATAGTCTTTTTTTTAAAAAGATTTATTTATTTTAGAGAGAGAGAGAGTATGTGAGCAGTGTAGGGGGAGAGGGTTAGGGAGAGGGAGAGAATCCTCAAGCAGATTCTCTGCTGAGCATGAAGCCCGGGGGGGCTCAATCTGAGGACTGTGAGATCATGATCTGAGCTGAAATCAGTGGTCAGACACTTAACTGACTGAGCCACCCAAGTGCCCGTCCTAAATGAATACATAGTCTTTGAAAAAGATCTGAACGGATATGTACTAAAGTGTTAAAAGCGGCAACCTCTGGGAGATAGAAATGGTATTTTTCTCTTTTTCCCTTATATCTGTATTTTCTAACTTCCTTCAATGCACATATATGCTATTTTTATGATAACAAAAGGCTATTTTAAAATTGAAAGAACATGTGTCTAACACTGAAGTCCTGATCTCTTCCCATCTCATCCTCCTCTTGCCCTCCCCGTCTCAGTGAGTGGCCGCTCCAAGGATGGAGCGGCTCAGGCCAGAAACCTCCCCTCCTCCCTTGGCATAGCTCAGATGCATGGTTTACTATCAGAAAATTATCTAGAATCTGTCCATTTCTTGCGACTCTCACCACGATGGGCAAAGAACTGCCAAGGAATAAACACAAATGGCCAAAGAACATCTGAAATGGAGTTCAATTTCACTGAGTGTCAAACAAATGCAAATGAGACTCTGAGGTGTCATTTCTGCCCACCAGGTAGGCAAAGATTTCACAGAATGGTGACACCCAGTGTCAGCAAATGTGGGGAGAAAGCGGCGTTCTCACACACACTGGAGAGTGCTCGGACAAGGTTGCCTCAGAGGCCGGCAGCCCCGAGTGCCATGACGGGGTTTGGTGGTAGGCCTCACTCTGGCCTCTCTCGGCAGTCCCTTTGCTGGACCTGGGCAAGAAGCTGAGTGTGCCCCAGGACTTGATGATGGAGGAGCTTTCTCTACGCAACAACAGAGGTTCCCTCCTCTTCCAGAAGAGACAGCGCCGGGTGCAGAGATTCACCTTTGAGTTTGCAGCCAGCCCGCAGGCGGTGAGTTAGCTCCCACTGTGCTTACAGGGGAATTGGCCCAGGGAGGGCCAGCAGTTAGCCTCAACTGAGCCAGTTGAGGACCTCTGGCCCCTGGGCTGTCCCTCCAGCTCCAGCTGGAAAGGCTGTGATGTTCCCATCAGATTGAGACCTTGACTTGCTGTGTGATCCCAGAAAAGTGTGATCTCTTTAGGCATCTCTCCCCAGATACAAAGCATAAAGTGGAATGGGCAGGGCAAGCTGTGGGGTGAAGGGATTCTGGCTCCTACAAAAAGTGCTCTGGGCTGCATTTGCAGTGAGCAGGATTTAGATTAGACTTGAGCTCAGCCTAAGGGAGAAAACACAGAACTCTTTCTCTTCTTGCTCCTAGAAGAAGGACAAGGCCAGAAAATAGTCTGCTGGTAGAGACAAGAATGGTTTATCCTCAGGCTTGAAAAACTCAGCAGGAATGAACTCAGGGCCACTCCACTCATACTCCACTCAACGCCTGGACTAAACAGGAGGCAGATGAGAGGGGGTGGTGTGGTAGGATGCAGAATAGTAAAGATGACAAAACACCTACTCGGCTAGCCAAGCACTTCACATCTATCGTCTTATTTAATGCTCATAGAGCCCTGTAAATTAGATATGATCATCACTCCTCCCATTTTATAGACGGAGAAACTGAGTGAGACTCAGGAAGGTTATCTGCCCAAGGTCAATAATAGAAACTAACATACCAAGAGTATTTCTCTGTCCCAGGCACTGGGATTAGTGCCCTTTGCTATTCATTCATCCCCCCAGTATCCCCAGGATGTGGGCACTAAGACTATGTACTCCCCATTTTTGGTGGAGGGAGAATCCTGGCCCCTTGCCCCAGAGCCTTTCTGTGATCTGTTTGCCCCCACAGATTGCAGATGGAAGCACCAAGGGGAAGGTGCTGGGAACAGCAGAGCTGGGGACGGTGAGTGTGCAGGGAGCTCCCCCCACCCCCACACGCAGGAGGGGAAGCAAGGGGATGGGGCCAGGCAGCTCCTCCAGTGAGGCAGTCCCAGCCTCTGAGCAGCCATTCCTGTGCCCAGGTTGCCAATGGCCCCGAGGGGCAGAACTTCCACTCTGAGCTCCACATCTTCCCAGCTTCATCCCGGGGCCCTGAGGACACCCAGTCCGCAGCCTTCCCTGCAGAGCGTGCCCGCAGCCCCAGCGCCCTGGCACCAGGTGAGTGCCTCCCTGGGTCCTGGGACCAGAGCAGGGAGTACCTACTGCTATTGGGCAGGAACCAGCACCCAGAAAGCGGCTAGTCCACCTCACCCAGCCCCCTGCACCCCTCCCTAGACCTAACACAAGCCCAGATAGGTGCAGCAACGCACCCAGGGTCACACAGTGAGCCAGAGTCTGGGCCCCAACCGACTGGGGATTTCCAAGTCCAGTCCTCCTTGCTTCCAGGGATGGGAAAGGATCGGTTCCCTCTGCTGGGGCAACTTTGGTGTTCTATTCCTCCCCTACCCCCATCTCAGCTCTAGGCTTCCCTCCCCTAACCGCGTCTGTGGGGTGGACAGGGTGGGGGCCAAGGGAGAAAAGAGCCCAGGTGGCCCCGCCTGCCAGCTCCACATGCCCTGCTCCCGTGTGCCCTGCTCCCATCTCCAGGCTATGCGGAGCCACTGAAGGGCATCCCGCCAGAGAAGTTCAACCACACGGCCATCCCCAAGGGCTACCGCTGTCCTTGGCAGGAGTTCATCAGCTACCGGGACTACCAGAGCGAGGGCAGAAGTCACACCCCTAGCCTTGCCGAGTACCGAAATTTCAACAAGTAAGGCCGGGGGGAGGGGGGTGCAGCTTGGGGGAGAGACTGCTAGGGTGTGCAGGTGTGCAGGTGCCAGTCACAACACAGCAGTGGCTGTGCTTCCTGAGCCCGTTGACGTGCCAAGCTCCCTCTGAACACTTACACGTTGCTTGAGCTCCTGCTAGAACTCAATAGCACTCTTGCCTCAGCACATAGGAGGTGCTCAATAAATGTACAGGGAATGAATGAGTGAACGTGCCACACACATCTTGTTGGTTTCGCCACCCAGCAGGGCAGGGAGGTGCTGCAGTTTTTCTTATTGTGACTCACTCAGGAATAGCAGTAACCTGCCCAAAGTCATGAAGCAAGGAAGCAGTGGGACTGGGACCCTAACCTGTGTCTGCCTCCAGAGCCCGGTCTCTCATTCCTCCTCCCTGCCGTGTACCAGCTCTTTGACGCACATTCCTCCCTGGGTGGGGGCCCGACCTCACTAGGCCTAGATCAGCTCAGCCTTTTCCTCACTTTCCTCAAAGGTCTTGAGGTGTATCAAAGTGGGGAGTGTCAGTGAAACATTGGACACTAGAGGTGAGAGCCACAGGGGACTGGCTTGTACTACAGAGCATGGGACCTTAGCGCGGGCTTATGTGCAGCCTCCTCGCCTTGCTGTTTGACCTTGGGCCAGTGACTCAACCTCTCTGAGCCTCCATTTCCCCATCTGTAAAATGAGACTATTACAGTATCTACTTCATGAGATTGTTGTGAGGATGACATGAGAAGCCGTAGGCAAAGTTTCTAGCAAGTAATAAGCTCAATACACAGTAGCTATTAGTAGGAATATTAGTTACAGGCTGAAATAATGGTTGGAAAAGCTAATTGGATGGGACGCCTGGGTGGCTCAGCAGTTGAGCATCTGCCTTCAGCTCAGGGTGTGATCCTGGGATCCGGGATCAAGTTCCACATCGGGCTCCTAGAAGGAAGGAGCTTCTCCCTCTGCCTGTGTCTCTGCTCTCTCTCTGCCTCTCATGAATAAATAAATAAAATCTTAAAAAAAAAAAAAAAGAAAAGCTAATTGGGAGCACTGGAGAGGGATAAACTTAGTGTTCCGGCCTAGGGGCTCAAAGACAAATCATAGGAATCAAGATAGGAAGGAGCCTGGCACTGGAGGAAGACCTTGGGCTGGGAGAATGCATTTCAACTGCAACTGGCTTCCTCAGTCTGATGCTATCTCTGAAAAATGCTCCTCTGGCTTGGACTGCAGTAAGCGAAAAAGAGGAGGGTCCCCAAGAGCAGGACATGGTCCAACTCTTCTGGCACCTGCTCAGACCACATGCAGAGACTGTCTGACAACTTGAGGGTGATCAGCCTTGAGAAGAGACTGCTCAGAAGGGAGGTGACCTCCCTCAAACAGCTGATAGCCAGGGAGGGCCCAGATGGGAAGAACTGTGCCCAACAGACACCGTGTGAGCCACGAGCCATTGGCAGGCATTCTGGGGTTTCCGCCAGGCGAGACTGTGTGCTCTCTCCTCCTGGGGGCCCTCAGCCCCCGCCTGCCCAGCTATTTAAAACCCTCAGCAGACATTCAGTCCAGGGCGCTGGCTTCCAGGCTGGCCAACTCGAGTCGTAGCCCCATCTATCTCAGGCCGCAGCTAGGACGGGCGGAAGCACATTCCCATCAGCAGGAGAGCCTTAGGGGGCCGTGAGCCCAGGGCCCAGAAGAGCCCACTGAAGCTGACAGGGGGCAACAGCGGTGTTAGTGGCCAAGCTGTGCTAAGGATCCAGGGCTCTGGGCTTCCAGTCAAGGGCTGGATTGTGAAGCCTGTGCAGCTTGGAAACTGCCCAGCCTGTTCCCGCAGGGCCTGGCTGTTGCCGCCACAGCCGGGGTGGTCTGGGCAGAACCGCTGTCCTGGCTGGAGTCCAGGCCCTGGCCCAAGGTCTGTCTTTCTGCCCCAGGGGAGAAAGCACTCCCCCATTCTCATTGCTCCCAGGCTTCGAGGAAAACACTACATGAGCAATACTTTTTAAGTCTTCTTAAGAAGAAAACACAGTTTAAAAATAACATTTTCTTAAAACACACACACTCAAAAGCAACTACAAATAAAGAGAGGGCCCCTATTCACCAGTCTCCATTTTAGTTCCCTTCCCAAAGGTGACACTGTGGTTGGGTAGGTATATTTTCAGATCATTTTCTCCCAGCAGCTCCATTCCTATAGTGGATGACATTGTTTTACATGCATGTGTTTGTGTTTTAATCCTTTGTATCTCATTCTGTATCTTGCTTGCCTTTTTGACTCAGTATTGTGCTTTTGAAATCTATCCTACTTAATACATACGGATCTTTTCATTCCTTTTAAGCTGCTCTATGGTATTCCACCTTGTGAATACACCACGTCTGTCTTGTCCATGGCTCTGCCAGTCGACATACGGGCCTTACTGGTTTGTCACCAGTCACTACTTCTACCTGTTTGTGTGTATGTGCATGTTCTTCTCTAAGCTGTATACTTACAGGTGCAGTTGTTGGTTGACAGAGTTTGCACATTTTTAGATTAAAAAGATCCTGCCAAGTTGTCCAAGGTAGCAGCACCAGTTTACCTTCCAACCAGCAGTATCGGAGTGAAGCTTTGCCCCACCATCTCACCAACTTTGCCCCATTTTCAAATTATTTCTTCTCACCAGTCTTATGGGTGAGAAATGGGGTGTGGTGTCTCTGTTATAACTTGCATTTCCTAATTCTTGGTGCTCCTTCTAACCCTCTCTTCCCTCTCTGGCCTGTGGGTATATTGTTCTAAGAGGAGATGAGCAGAGAAGGAAAAACCCCATTCCAGCTCTACTGTCTTCTGGAGCTTACTTAGGGGAAACCTAGAGTTTTGTTTGGGACAAGCCAATTTGAGCTTTGAAAATTTCATTCCTATTCCCAAGCACCAAGCCACCCCTACTAGAGGCAGACTGGGGAATGGACAGAGCTGGGGAAACCTGTTAAGGATAATATAAGGCCTTACCATATAGGTGGGGAAACGGGCTCAGAGGGAGGCAGGGAGGGGGCCTCACATGGTGACCTATATGTCAGTGCTCTGCCATCCAGTGCTCTCCCACACAGCCCACCTGTCCTGCTGCTTTTCTCTCACCAGGACCCCAGTGCCCTTTGGAGGACCCTTAGTGGGGGAGACTCTTCCCAGGGCAGGCACCCCATTCGTCCCAGAGCTCATCAGTGGCTTGGAACTTCTTCGCCTCAGACCTAGCTTCAACAGAGTTGCCCAGGGCTGGGTCCGCAACCTTCCTGAGTCCGAGGAGCTGTAGCCCCAGCCTGAATATTCAATTCCCATCTTCATGTTTGGGAGACATCCTGGAGTCGACTTCTGGACAGCACTTCACAGTTTATGAAGGGTCTTCACACACAAAATCTTACTGCAAATGGCCTCAAAGGCCACAAGGTTCAGTAGTCCCCAAATGGGGTGTGTTTCAACATTTCCTGGGGATGATGTTTTGCATACAGACTTCTGGCCTGCCCCAGATTTGCAGTATCCAAATCTCCTGAGTTGGGGGGACTTTCTATTAGTAACCAACACTCCCAGCTGATTCCAGTGAAACTTGTTCATGGTTCACATCTTTAGGAATCCAAGCTACCAGTGAATTCACATCCATGCCTCTACTCCCCACTCCCTGCTCTGGTACTCTACTAACACTCCCCTGACAGGGAGATCCCTAGCAGCCCATTTACCCAGTGGATAACTCTGACAATTAGAAAGTTTTTCCTTTTATTGAGAAGCAGTTAGTTAACCTTATTCATGCTCTAAACATTTGCTAAGTACCTACTGTGTGCTAGTTGCCCTGAGGTGAATAAGCCCTGGCCTAGAGGAAGAGAAGACAGTAGGAAAGACAGGTTTATAAAGCATAGGTAAATCCTGTTGATTTTCCCTACAGAATACTACCTGACATCAGAGGAAGCAAGCGCCATGAGTCAAGAGGAGTGGGTTCCTAACCCTGGTGGTGGGGATGGGTACAGGAGGGGAATTCCAGGAAGCCTCTCGGAGACTTTGGAGGTGGAGTGAGAGACATCAAGGGAAGAGAGAGTGACTGGAGAGGACATTCCTGCTGAGTGCACCAGCATGTGCAAAGTGTGGAATTGTGAATAGGAGTAGGTGTGTTCTGGAGAAAGGAGGGGGCTGTGTTAGAGGGTTCAGTGAGGGCCAGCACAGAGTGGACTTTCCTGAGGAGATGGGGGCAGCTTTTAAGCTGGGAAGTGATGGATCTTGCTATGTGGGGACACAGATTGGAGAGGACTAAGGCCAGAAGTCAGGAAACCTGCAGGGAATAAGGTCTAGGCTAGGGCTAGGCTAGGGCTAGGCTAGGGAGATGGCCATAGGGATGGAAAGAAGGGGCACCTTATTGGACAGGTGCAATGTGGGGCACCTATAAGGTCTCCTCCTGTCTTTTCTCCTTGCACTCACCATCTGGTGCAAGCCTGGGTAAATCTTGTCCTAGCCTTCACCAGGGCTAGTTCAGGGTTGTATCCAGCTCCCTAGGAAAAGGAGAGAAAGGAATGCCTCTTAGTTCAACTGATGATGATGAAGACAGTGACAATGATCATGTTGGTGGCTGCTTTTTATTAGGTGCCTCAGTGCTTGGGCTGGTAGTAGATTCTCCACATATCCTATTTCTTATTTTCAGGACAATCCTGAGGGAAAGGTATTGTCCCATTTTACAGATATAGATATCCAGGCTTGAAAGAAGTGGCTTGTCCAGGACCAGAGCCAAAACGGGAATGTCTAATTCTAGCAGCTGTCCCTTGTCACTGCACTGGGTGGCCAGGCCAATGCCCCCTCACTCTGGAATCATCTAAGCATGGTATCCTGCCTTAGGGCTTAGAGTGAAAAGTGCAGGTGGGGAAGTCAGACTGGATGGGATGGGTTCTAGCTGCTACTGATAGCTGTGTGAACTTAAGCAAGTCATTTCTCCTGGGTAGGCCTCTGTCTCTCCACCTCTAAGATGAAGACAAGGCCAGAAGCCCCTAGAGTGGGCTGTTGTGGCACAGTGATGGATGCATATGTAAGAAGTCCTTGGTCATTATTAGATTTCCTGCAGCTTCTGCTCTTGACCGGAAAAGACTTTCTTGTTCTTGAGAAGCTGGCTGCAAGATGTCATTAGGGTCTGTAAAGCTGAAGCCCGAAGGAAAGCCTCTGATTACTCCTTGTAGGACTCCTTGTGGACATGGAATTATTCCCTTTCCCCCTGCCTCCCTCTGCCTCTTCCCTGCCTTTCTTAGGGAGATGAGAAGGTGAGAGATCCAGCTAGTTCCCAGGGTACACGGGATAGTGGTTGCATTTTCCTTTTGTTCCAGACTTTCACTGCACCCCACACAGTCGTGAGGGGCCAGCAGCCTGTTAGAGTTGCCTGCCATTGATGTGTTGTCTTGAATTGGGGGGCTGCTGTTTAAAGCCATGTTTGCATGAGCTGAAAAACCAACCATTAAAGTGTCTGACACATAGAAGAGAGGATTTGCACTACCTTGGATTGACTCTGCTGTGTTCTGGAGGCTGAAGACCAACACCAGCTACAGGAGAGGAGAACCTGCTGCACCCAAAAGCAAATCCTCATTCTTTCTTCTGACAATATGACTTTTGCTGATGTTGTTAAAAAAAAAAAAAAAAGGAATGCTTGTTATCTAAATAAATAAGTAAAATGTAAAAAGACTGGCCCACATAGCTCCTCCTATGCTCAAAGATAGACTTTCCCAGCCTCCTGCATTCTGCTTCATTTCCACATACTGGACGTAACCACTGGTAACAGTTTGGATCTTCTAGGATTCTAGAATTATTTGAATAGATAAATATGTATGTAGTGTAGTACAGATGCAAAGGTGCAAAAATATGTCTTTGTCTAATGGGATCATACCATATGTATTATTCTGTATTTTGCAACTTTGTTTAACAGTAAGTAAAATTTGGATCCTGAAAGAGCAGGCCATTAACCTTTCATGTAATTTGTGGGCCTTGCAAGCCCTTCATATAAAATCATTTTCTTTGCTTGTTCATATCAAATTCTCTGCTTTTGCTTGTTCTGTTCCTTAAATAAATGAAATCATTCGGTGATAAGGAAACAAAAAGGACAAAGAATAGCCAGGATGTTGGGAAAGCGGATATGAGCTATCCCAGCACTAAGCAGACAGGAGCTGCAATTACATGTAACAGTGTGGGTGTGGCACAGAAACAAAATGGCAAGCAAAGGAAGGGATACAAACATGCATGTGTGTTGTTGCAAGAACGTGTTAATATAAAAGTCAGGACAGGGTTAACTTTGTGAGGAAAGAAAGGCTGGTGGTTGTGAAGGCATAAAATGCTTCTGGGGAAAGCTAGACAATTTCTGTGGCTGGATTTGGATGACTGTTACATAGGTGCTCACTTTAGAATATTTAACTTAGTGGTACATCTGTGTTTTATGCACTTTCTCTGTACATGTGTTATATTTTACCAAAACAGTCCCTCCTTTTAAAAAATGAATGGACAAATCAATAGTAGATCAGATGTACCTGATGAAAGAATTAGTGAACTACAAGTGCCCATAATGTTTCAAAGAGAAGTAAAGAGAATATGAGAAATTAAAAGACGTGGAAAATAAAATGAAAGTGTCTGACAATACTGATAGAAATTCCAGAAGATGCTTTAAAATGACTGAGTTTTCTCTAGATTTAATGAAAGACATAAATTCACACAATCTTTACCCTGTCATGAGAAGGGATATTAAATCTACACTTAAGAACCACTATATATAGATGCAGGTCATGATCCCGGGGTCCTGGGATCAAGCCCTCCATCAGGCCCCCTGCTCAGCAGGGAGCCTGCTTCTCTCTATCCCCCTCCCCACCTCCTCCCTCATGCTAGCATACTCACCCTCTTTCTCTCTGTCTCTGTCTCTCAAATAAAGTTTTAAAAAAAGGAATCACTGTACTGAAATCGCAGAACTCCACAAAGTCGCAGAAAAAATTCAAGAAAATTGATATTATCTACAAAGTATCCAATGAAAAAGCTGGATTACCTGCAAAAGAATGACATTTAAAATGACAGCAATAATAGAAAAATATCTTCAAGAAATGAGAACAAAATAAATTCAGTCTCAGACAAATAAGTAGTATGAGAATTTCCCACTAACCCCTGAAAGAACAAAAGAACATGCTGAAGGACCCAGAAAAAAAGTATTGGATCTAAGAAGCAATGGTGAGCACAGAGATCAATTTGATAGACAGCAGGAAGGATGAAAAAGCAGCAGTTAAAGGGACATGAATTAAAGCATAAATACATTTAAATATATCAGTTATCAAAATAAATGTGAATATATAAAACTCACCACCTTAAAAATACTCACGGTTTGGGTAAAAAAAGTAATTCCATCTGTAAGCTTTTCACAAATAGCACTCCTAAAAATATGACACAGAGGTAAACTAAAGAAATGGAAAAGCATTAAGCTATTAGATACTATCCCAAAGAAATGTGATCTAGTCTATTAATATCAGACTTCCTGGCAAAAAGCATTATTGTGATAAAGAGGATCCTTACATAATGATAAGCCTACAGTCATAGTGAAAGATTTAACACAGTTCTTATTGATCTCTTACCAGACAGAGTAAGGATATAGGAAATTTGTACAACAAAATGAAAATGTGGAATCCTGCACCACCAAATTAGAGTATACTCATTATTTCCAACTACTATGAAACACTTCATAAAATGAACACACAAGATTTAAAACTTTTGTGCATCAAAGGATCCTATCAAGACAGTGAAAAGACAATCTACAGAATAAAAGATTATAACTCAAAGAATAAAATAAATAATTCACAGTGATGTAAATAAATTATGGAATAAATAAATAAATGGGGGAGAAAAGACAAACCTTTCTTCCTCGCAAAAGACATCCAAGTAATGTATGTAGAAACTTCCTCTTCAGGAGGTGAAATGTTAATTCTCATCCTATTGATTATATATAGATTGGCCTTAATGACCTCCTACCAAAAAATAGAACACAGGAAAGGAAAAACAGTAAATTTATGAAGGAGAAACCTGGAAGATATTACCTTAATCAAATGATCGAGGTTAACATTATCAATGATTTCAAATCCCTGACATAACTTCCCCTTGAGATATCTTCCCCCAAATTTGTAATCCCAGGCTAATCATGAGAAAACAAATTCAAGTCAAGAGACAGTCTACAAAGCAGCTCATCAGTACTCTTTGGTAATGTGGCCGACTGTGTTGGATTCTGGAACAGAAAAAGGGCATAAGAGGAGAACAAAGTGGTGAAATTCAAATAAAGAATTCGTTTAATTAATAGTACTATATGGGCAGCCCTGGTGGCTCAGCAGTTTAGCGCCGCCTTCATCCCAGCGTGTGATCCTGGAGATCCGGGATGGAGTCTCATGACAGGCTCCCTGCATGAAGCTTGCTTCTCCCTCTGCCTGTGTCTCTGCCTCTCTCTCCCTGTGTCTCTCAGGAATAAATAAAAATCTTTAAAAAAAAATAGTACTATATGAATGTTAATTTCCTAGTTTTGACAAAAATAACACAGCTATGTTAGATGTTAACATTAGGGGAAGCTGGGTGAAGAGTGACATCTCTCTGTCCATCTTTGCAACTTTTCTGTAATCTCAAGTTATTCCAAAATAAAGTTTTAAAACTGAAGAAAAAAAAATCCCACCAAGAATACAGGCCTAGATGGCTTCACGAGTGAATTGTATCAAATTTTTAAGAAAAAAATAATAGCTATGTTACAAACTCAGAATATAGAGGAAGAAGCAATATTTCCAAAGATACTCGATAAGGCCAGAAGAACCCCAAAAAAGATGTTACAGAAATTTCAAGGCCAATACTTCTCATGAACATAAACACAAAAATTCAAGTGATATATATACATATAATATATATATAAAATATATAAATATCATATATGGCATATAAATACATATATATAAAATACATCATAACTGTTGGGTCATAGGGCTTCAAATGGTGAAGGTGGTCAAAAGGCACAAATTTCTTGTTAAAAGATAAGTTCTAGGGATGTAACATACGCATGGTGATTATAGTTAACAATTCTGTATGTATATATTGTTATATTTGAAAGTTAGGAGAATAGAACTTAAAGTTCTCATCCCAAGAAAAAAAGTGTAACTATGTGAGGTGATGGATATGAACTAGACTTATTTTGGTAATTATTTTGCTATGCATACAAGCATCAAATCACCTTGTATACTTTAAGCTAATACAATGTTATGTGCAAATTATATATCTCAATAAGTGGAAAAGTTAAATTTTTTTTTAAGATTTTATTTTTTTATTCATGAGAGAGAGACACAGAGTGAGAGGCAGAGACATCGGTAGAGGGAGGAGCAGGCTCCCTGCAGGGAGCCTGATGTGGGACTCAATCCCACACGCCCAGGATCACGACCTGAGCCAAAGGCAGATGCTCAACCATTGAGCCACCCAGGTGCCCCTAAAAATTTTTTAAAAAGAAATAAATTATGGGACGCCTGGGTGGCTCAGCGGTTGAGCATCTGCCTCAGGCTTAGGGTATGATCCTGGGTCAGGGATCGAGTCCCGGATTGGGCTCCCTGCAAGAACCTGCTTCTCCCTCTATCTGTGTCTCTGACTTTTTCTATGTCTTTCATGAATAAATAAATAAAATATTAAAAAAAAGAAAGATATTATGACTAAGTGGGGTGCAAGGATGTTCTGACATTTAAAAATCCTATGTTGGGGCACCTGGGTGGCTCAGACAGTTAAGCAGTTAAGCATCTGCCTTTGGCTCAGGTCATGATCTCCAGGTCCTGGGATCAAGCCCCACATTAGGCTTCCTGCTCAGCAGAGAGTCTGCTTCTCTCTCTCTCTAATAAATCTTTTTAAAAAAATCCTATGTTTTTGTAGAAATTGACAAACTGATTTTAAAATAAATATAGAAATGCAAAAGACCTAACAAAGGAAAAAGAAAACCTTTTCAACAAACAAGAAATGAAGTCATTGAGGTGGGCTTGAATCCAACCAGTGTCCTGATATAAAAGGGGAAATTTGAGGCATCTGGGTGGCTCAGTCAGTTAGTTAAATGTCTGCCTTTGGCTCAGGTCATGATTTCAGGATCCTGGGATCAAGCCCCATGTCAGGCTCCCTGCTGAGTGGAGGGACTGCCTCTCCTTCTTCTCCCTGCTTGAGTTCTCTGTTGCTTTTTCTCTCTCTCTCCAATAAATGAATAAAATCCTTAAAAAAATAAAATAAAAGGGGAAATTTGAAAACAGATATATACACAGGGGGAACACCATGTGAAAATGAGGGAGATACAGGGATGATATTTCTGTAAGTCACAGAATGCCAAAGCTTGACAGCAAACACCAGAAGCTAGGAGAGGGCCCCGGAACATACTCTCACAGCCTTAAATAGAATCAACACTACCAACACCTTGATCTTGGATGCCTAACCTCCAGAAAGGTGAGACACTAAATTTGTTGGTTAAGCCACCCAGTTTACGATACCTTGTTACAGCAGCCTTGGCAAACTGATACAAATTTTGGTATGCCAGACAATAAACTGGACTTCATTAAATGAGAACTCTCTGCTCATTATCTGCACATTAGGAAATAGGCAGACTTGGATTAAGTATTTGCAAACATGACAGAGGACTAATATCTAAAATATATATAGATCTATGTATATTCTATAAATAAAAAGGCAGCCAAAAATGGCCTAAATTCTTGAACAGATATTTCACAAAAGAAGAGATATAAATGACCAATAACTACTTGAAAAGGTACTCAACTTCTTTGTCAAAATGGATATGCAAATTGAAACCACAATGAAATACTATGATACACCCACCAGAATGGCTAACAGTCAAAAGAGTTTTTACATCAAATTTTGGTGATGTTGTAGAGCAACTTGAACTCTTGTTGGTGGGAACGTAAAATGGTTCTACCACCTTGGGAAAACGCCTAACAATTTCTTTTAAAACTAAACAGGCATCATCAGCCCTATGATCCAGGATTTCACTCTATTTATTCAAGAGAAATAAAAACATATATTCGCAAAAAAAAATGTGTACAAGGATGTCCATAGCAGCATTAATTCATGATAGCAAAAAGTTGATAGGTAAGTGATGGTATTATCATACAGTGGAATGCTACTCAACAATAAAAAGGATTTATACACAACATCATGGATGATCCTTCAAAACATCATGTTGTTGGAAAGAAGCCAAATACAGAGTTTACAATGCATGATTCCATTTATATAAAGTTTTAAAATAAGTAAAACTAATCTACAGTGAAAAAATCAGAACAGTAGTTGCCTCTGGAGATTGGGGGTGGGGGGGTGGGTATTGACAGGGGGAATTTTTCTGGAATGATGGTAATGTTCTACATCTTGACAGGGATTTGAGTCACATAAGATGGACACCTCATCAAAATTCTTGAATAGCATACTCAAGATCTGTGCATTACAATCTATGTAAATTCTACCTAGAAAAGCTACAAATACTGAACTCTGGCTAATTATATAAATGCTTAAGTGCTTCAAGGAGAAGTATACCGATGTCTTCAATTTACTCTGAAATGCATAAAAAAGATTGACAGATGCATAAAGGAATAGATATGTGATGAAGCAAATATGGCCAAATGTTAATTGTGGATCTAGTTAGTGGATATGACTGCTCACAGTAAAATTCATTCAAACTTCCTGTAGGTTAGAAAATTTTTATAATAAAAATGTTAGGGAGAATACAAAGACTAGAGGAACTCTGGGGGAGAACTTATTCTAATCTTAGAAAGCTATTTCATCCTATACCAGTCTTTCTCAGAGGGGTTGTCTGCCTCACCAACTTACTTAGATCCACTGAAG